TAACCACAGGCCTGGCTGCTCCACTCATTGGCCCATTAGCACCTTCAGTGAAGGACAGAGACAGGCAAGAAAAGGCTCCAGTGTCCACTCCATCTTCTATGAATAGTAACAGTGCCAGCTGGTGTAGCCACAACTCTTTGTGTGGGTACTGTGAATCATCAAGAATTCCAAATAAGGAACCCTTGCTGTAAGTATCTAGAAATACAAACCAGTACCAAACAGCAATTCTCAAACAGTTTGGTCTAAGGGTTCTTTAAAAACTCTTAAATTTATTTATACCCGTAAAGAACTTATGCTAAATAGCTGTCAGTAGAAGACAGCTAGATTCTGGCTATAATATTTCTGGGATGAAATACATGAAGAAATATGTACAAATAAATAGTTAAGAAAAAGGGAATATATATTTTTCTTTGATACCAAAACTTGGTAATTACTAGTTTCTTACGATTTGCTTCACTGTGGAATCTAAAATCATACCAATAAATTTTTCATCCTGTTACTTTAAAATCCACTGGTCTATTATGAATGTTGAATGAATCTTTACCCATCTATAATTTTGTACTACCAATGATTATTTGGGAAAAGTACTGGTTCACTGAGTTATGTAGCCCTTCTCAATGTGGACATATTCCATTATAAAATATTTTTTTAAATATTTATTTTTTAGTTGGACACAATATCTTTCTTTATTTATTTTTATGTGGTGCTGAGGATTGAACCCTCGCATGTGCTAGGTGAGCACTCTACCACTGAGCCACAACCCCAGCCCCATAAAATATTTTTAAAATGACATTCATTGAGACCACCATCTTGGACTGAGGATGTAGCTCAGTGGTAGAGTGCTTGCCTAACATGCACAGGCACTGGGTTAGATCCCCAGTATTACAGTATTACACACACACACACACACACACACACACACACACAAAATTTATGTGTGTGTGTTTGTGTACACGTGTGTATACATACATACAGATACACATAGTCATCTCATATCATTATAAAAGCCTTTACATATTAGGAAGTTGTAAAGCTTAGGGTGGCAAATAAGTTTCCAAAATTCTAACATTCACTTGAAAGTTTGAATTATGCCATTTTGGCAAGAAATAGTATCAGTTGTTTACCTTGAAATGACAGGTTCACTTTATTGATTTTTGAGACAATGTCTACCAGATACCTAAGTCTGAAAATCAGTTTGTCTGACAGTCCTTATTATTTGTTTTGTTTTAGGCACTGGGGATTTAACCCAGGGGCACTTTACCACAGAGCAACATCCCAAGCCACTGCCCACCACCTCCCTTTTTAAAAACAGTCTAAGTTGCTTAGGGACTCACTAAGTTGCTGAGTCTGGTCTTGAGCTTGCCATCCTTCTGTCTCAGCCTCCTGAGCTGGATTATAGGCATGCACCACCATCCCCAGCTGGTCAGTCCTTTTTTGAAGTAAAAATGGTGAATATGAGGCTGGACCCAGAGACTCAGAGAGTGAAGCCATCACGTAGGGACCCTGCCTGAGCATGGCCAAGGATAGAAGCTGTGCAGAGCACACAGGAGCCAGTGGGATTCTTTCCCAGCCTTGAAATCAAACTTTGGCTGAAGGGCACTGGCTCCTTAGGACTCACTCACCTGTAGTCCTGACAAGGGAGGATGGCCAGGAGAGCTCCCTGCCTGCACCCACTTGCTGGCCTGCCCATCTGACAGCAGGTGCTGCCATCACGGTGACTGCTGCTACACTCAGTGCAGAGGAGGCCAGCTACAGCCCGGAGATGGATGGCTAACCCTGGCAGTATGTTAATCAGCATGTCCTGTGTGTCTATGGCCACATCTCCAATTCCACTCCAGACACTCTGCAGACCTAACAGAAGGTTGGGGATGATGTTTTCAATGGAGCTGTCTTCCTTCAGAGGGCAGATGGCAAGAAGTTTGTCTGTGTAGTCAGACAGGTACAAGTATGACAGACTGAGAGCTCTTGCAGATGTACAGTATGAATAGGGACCTGCCTGGGTTCACAGACCAGAAAGGACAAGGCAGGCACAGGGCCACATTACATCTATGGAGGCCAGCTCTCCACCTATGCTCCTTCCATGGTCGCTTGTCCTTTGCCATCAGCCTTTCTGCAATAAGTACAATAAGTGAATGAATGGCAGGAAGAGGGCAAGTAATCCATCTGTGGAACTACTTTATAAAAATATCCATTCTCTATCCATGGCTGAGGGGAGAGGTAAGAAACTTAGAACATCTTTTGGGAAAGCAATTTTGCAAAACATAGCAGTCTTAAAAATGCTTCATGTAGCCAGATTCATTACCCAGTACTAAATTTAAAAAAAGAGAAAAACCAGTCTGAGATGAAAATTAAGTGAAAAGGGACTCATGGGTATGAGGCAAAATGATCTTGCTGCTATTAGCACCAGGACAGCAGGGCTTTGTTCAGGGCTTTGGTCCCTTCTAGATGAGCACCTGGCTTTCAACACACAGACAACAGATGATTGTTGAATGAATGAACAAACAAAAGGATTGACTAAGCTGTTTATGGGATAGACTAGGAAAAAACAAGAAACTGCAGTATAATTATGTTTGAATTTCTGATGGGATTATGGGAAATTTTCTTAATTTTGTAAGTCTTTAAAATTTTATTTAAAATAAACATTTATTTTTTCCTGATTATAAAAGTAGCTTTAGAAATAATTCAATTTACTTGGTACTTAGTAACAAAAAATGAATACTTCACTAAAAAGATACAAGTAAATCCATGAAAGATGATTAATGCCATTAGTCCTTAGAGAAATGCACCTTAAAATGACTGTAGAGAGCACTACACACCTATTAGAATGGAGAGGAGTGGGAGGCAGGAGGAAATTTCTGGGAATGATGGACATGTTTACCATTTTGATTGCAGTGATAATTTCACAGTTGGGTATTTATGTCAAGTTTATCAAATTATACACTTTAAACATGATATGCCTAGTCTATCTCAACAAAACTGTTCAAATATTAAAAATGGTGATGCTGAAGAAAGCAGCTAGTTCAGCTTACAACTCAACCACACATTACTTTTCCTTAAGATAACCATGAACCATCTTCCATTTCATCACACAGAAGATTGAACAGATATGTTCTTATAGATTGTTTTAATGGACTTAATCTTTACTGTTTCATTAAGGAAAATATTAGGTAAAAATTAGTATGCTTCTTACATTGCATGGGTATGGTGGTGAGGGATTCAATAATAATTGAATGGTTTTATGTCATAGTCTTGATTCCTGCTAAGCTCTAGCAATTTTACCCACCACTGCTTTTTATCATCAATGCAAATAATGGGGCAAAATAAATATATCTTTGTACTATTATGAGAACAGTTTTGGTGTTGTGGATCCCCTGAAAGAGTCTCATGGCCCCCAAGTGTCTGTGGACCACACTTTGAGAACCTCTAGACAAAACACTGTAGAAAGAAATTAGTCAAGTCATAAATAAATGTTGAGTACAACCCCCCAAATGTGGTTTTGTATAGCAACTTATCATACAATTTCTCATGGGTTACCTCATTTGGTCCTTATAACACTTTTTAGATTGTAGGTAATACTGTATATTTTTTCACACACACAAGAAAACAGCCTTTGAGCTCACTGAAATACTCTGCTTACGGTCTTAGCTAATAAGCAATGGAGTTGCATTCAAAACTAGATTTTCTGACTCTAATTGCAGAATGTTCCCCACAATACCATATTTCTTTTCTGCCTTGCCATGAAATAATTATCTGCTCTTCTTTTTCCTCCTCAATATGTGTGTAGCCTGCCATCTATTTATCCTCATCCCTAATCCTGAGATTGTTCTAAACTTGACAGGAACCTTGTATAGTGGACAAGATAAGGAATTTCAAAACCTGGCTCATGAATAGTGTTGAAAGTTTAGAAGATTTTCTTCAAAGGGAATAAAGACCATAGCAAAAATATCTACCATAAAGAGGGCATATAATAAGCAAGGACATCTCAGTAGACTGCTCAGTGCTGTTCTATATACACCTTGATGTGGCCCTGGAAGCTGACAGTAACTACTGGTATGCAACTGGGTCCCTAGAAGATCCTGGGCATCAGAGCTATCGCACCAACATAGACCTTTCACATTGAGTCTGTTAGTAAAAAGAAACAATTTTTTTGGTTGTTGTTATTTTTTTAAAAAAATATATTTTTTTAGACATTGATGGACCTTTATTTTGCTCATTTATTTATGTGCAAAGAATCGAACCCAGTGTCTCACACATGCCAGGCAAGTGCTCTACCACTAAGCCACAACCCCAGCTCCTTGGTTGCTATTCTTTAAGCCACTTTCCTGATTTTTTTACAACTAAATTTTACACTAACTAACATACCTTTATTTTCTTAAGAGTTTAATTCCACTTTAAACCCATTATTCTTCTTCCCCTTACTAATCCATTCATAATTCTTCTTGATTGTAATAATCATAAGAGGAGCCTTTCTAGTTCTCTAGCATTTCATCAAAATTGTACTTATTCAAGTATCCAAACTACTTTTGCCTTTGGTTTCCACACTTCTAAGTCAAATGTTCTACTTTTCTCACTTTACAGTATCCACTGGAGGATTGAACACAGAAGATCAGTATCCCTGAAACATTCTCTGAACTTCAATTCTGGAACACTATCATCCCCTAGTTTTCTTTTCATATTTTAGGACTCTCCTTAGTTTCCCTTTGTTGTTGTTAAATTTTATTATATTTATTTTACTCTTTTACATGGTGCTGAGGATGGAACCCACTGCCTCACACATGGTAGGCAAGCGCTCTACTACTGAGCTATAACCCTAGCTCCCTTTGTTGGTTTTTGAACTATTTCCCTTTTCTAAATGCACTCATTCCCTTGCTGATCTCATCCAGTTTTCAAAGCAAATGTTTGATAAAGGCCTTCATCTAGAATAAAGAACTCTAAAGTAAGAATACAAATATCAATTTTTTAAAATGTACAAAAGATTTGAAAAGTCACTTTACTAAAGCAGATAAATGAATGGCAAACAAGAATACATGCACACACAAATTAACAACATCATCATTGTTAGGGAAATGCAAGTTACAATCACAATGAGTACCTCAGTCTGGTTTGTGCTGCTATAACAAAATACCTGAGATTGAGTAATTTGTAAAGAACAGAAATTTATTTGTCCCTGTTATGGAAGCTGAGAAGTGGCATTGGCACACTAAAGCCCAGTCTCTGCTTTGAAAATGGTACCTTGAGCGCTGAGTTCTGCAGCGGGAGAGGAACACCATGCCCTCACATGGAAAAAGAGAAGAAGAGAGAGAGATCCACATCCACAAGCACTTTTTTATAGTACCACTAATTCATTCATGAGGGCAGGGCCCTCAAGACTGACATACCTCCCATTTGGCCCTGCCTCCCAGTATTGTCATACTGGGGAGTAAGTTTCCAACACATGAATTTTGGAGGTGACACATCCAAACTATAGGCATGAATTATTCCTATAGACATATTAGGATGATTAAAATTAAAAAGACTGGTGATATCAAGTGTCAGCAATGAAGTAGAACAAACTGGAACTCTCATACATCACTGATGGAAATGCAAAGTTGTACGGCTACTTTGAAAATGAGTAACGGATTCTTCTGATCCCTTGCTGGTCTATGGAATCCATGCTGAATCCGTATTAATTAAATGGTACTTTCTTCTCAAAACATTACAATGTTGTATGAGCCACAACAAAAACCTCATACATCTAGGGCATCTGTAGTAAAGAAACACAAGGAAGATAAAGCTGAAAGTTCAATCATTTAATCAAGACAGAACATGACTTAAAGGGACTGATTACATTATTTGATTATACCAAGTTAATTCATAATGAATATTTAATTAATTCTGCACAGACTCACATTTCAGCTAGTGATGAAGAATGTTGGGGGAAAGGCTAGACAGAGAGAGAGTAAGAGATCATTTTCTTTGGACATCTGAATTGTGGTATAATTTGAATATGTGATTTTCTAACAGGGGCCCACTTCATGCTTTCAATATAACCCTTTCTGCTTCTTTTAAAATTAAGGGCTGGGGTTGTGGCTCAGTGGTAGAGTGCTCGCCTAGCACATGCAAAGCCCTGGGTTTTATCCTCAGCACCACATACAAACAACAACAACAAAAAAACATTGTTCTGAGACAAGGTTCATGGCAAAAAAAATAATAAATAAAATTAACATTTTTTCTTTCCTCATTCTTTTCACCCCACTGTAATCACAGGGGAAGCAAGATTAACTTTCTTCCAGTACTAGGTTGGGTAATGTGTCCTCCAGAGTTATCTGTCCTTTGGCTCACAGACCACAGGAATGAAAGAATCCAGACTTGTGGGTAGCACCTATGGATCTAAGAAACAGATATCTCTCAAGGCTATAAATGAAATATAACTCCCAATCAGGGAACAACTGGAATGTAGCCTTTATGTCCCTTCTTTAAAAGTCCACTGTTCCTGCTGGCTGATAGAATCATAGCCTCTGGGGCAGGAGTCCCTTCTGTTTCCCCTTTGCTAGCAAAGCAATAATCCTCCTCTTCCTCCTCCTCCTCTTCCCCCTCCTCCCTCTCCTCCTCCTCCTCATTTTTCCTCTTACTACTGGGAAAGAATACTGAGCTTTTCATATCAATTCAGTTATAATAGGCACCATACAGTACTACAGAAAACTGCAAGATGGGTTTTAAATTACATTGAGTTTCAAATGTCAAACGCAGGGACTTGCCAAGAGGAAGGAGGAAAAAGAAACTGGTTCAGTTCAAGACAGAGGCTGAGGCAGGAGAAGAACCAAGAATATTCAGTCAGGACAAGGTTGTGTAGGGCAGGGTAGAATGAAGAAATAGATGCTACTACCGTGGGATCTCTCCCAAATCAGTGTCCTGAGGTGTTATGAGTGAAGGAAGGAGGAATTCGGCAACATTATCTTAATTGAATCATTTCACCTTCTATCCTAACTGTATTAGTAGGGTAACTTTCAGGAAAGTAAAGGAAGTCCTGTTCGTAATTCATTGCTAGGAATATTTCCAAGGAGGAGATCTTTATTTTGTGTAAATTGCTAAGTAAGATAGGATAACTTTCAGATTTAAGAACAGACTTAATAGATAAATAAGATGAACGGAAAATAAACAGATAAACTGTCATTAAAACAAGGATATATTAGAGCAGAACCAGAGTCAGTTTGGGGAGAATTTCAGCATCCTGCAGAATGAGAATACAACATTTCTGTGTAAAGGGGAAGGAAGAAGGGCTCACACTTGGAAAAATCCTGGAGTTAAGCCAAAGTGGGACCCCTGTGTCTGGGCCTCTACCTTTCAGCTGAGAATGTGGATGAACTAGAAAGGAAGCTCTGTTATGCTGCGCCCCTCCCCTGACTCAGGCAATGGCAAGGCCCTACTGAGGTGGATGGCGCAAGGCGTCCATCCTCTGGAGGAGCGCAGTATGTTTCTGGGAATGGGATGGTTTGTTTTTGTATTCCTTTAATAAGTACAGTTGAGATTTCTCATATGACCATTAAGTATGAAGGAAAAAACATGACTTTCCCAATTAATGCAACTACTTCTAAGAATAGATCTGTTTGCTCTAAATGCAATGATTCAGCTGTGGAGCGTAAATTGTTAATGTCTAATGAAAAACTCCCTGTATTCCTGTCAAGGAAGCTTTTGAGAAATTAAATTAAAATCTAGAGAAGAAGAATTAATGTTAAGAAGACAGATTAGTGCTTAGTACTGGGCAACTTGTTCTTGTTCCTGTGCACAATAGTTTGTGCTCTTACTCTTGTTTGATTAAAATTAATAACAAGTTAACCACTTGCCGTAACCATGGCACCGGTTCCAGTCAGTAAGTCAAGAAAGAATAGTCAAGGTATAGGCCAATAGTTGGGACATTTATAACTATTATTAAAAGTTAACTAAACAGAAACAGCTCAAAGCAAAACTCGAACTGAAAGGAAAAATGCTTGCTTATGCATAAGCCAAGATACATTCTTCTATTCTAATTGTAGCTACTTAATATTTTGTTTCTTTGAATAATGATTCCTGTTTTGTAACCACAAAGTACTGAGAGCCTGCCAAAATGAAAAGTATATATGACCAACTTCACAAGTAAAGATTGGGATTCAGCACCTTCACTTTGGTGTCTGTGTTGTTTCTCCACCCGCTTTTGCCGACTCCTCACCATCCGTTGGTCTCCTGAAACCCCCTGTTGGAGCTGGACTTCGACACTGTTAGGATCTAATGCTGCAGTAAATACTGTGTATCCTGTTCAATTGGTTGGGACCCTACAGAAGGGAATTTGATATGTGGATTCTCTAATAATTAGAGTGAGTAATATCTAAAATAGATTGGTTTGTATTTCTCTTACCTGATTCACATTTTTCAGTAGATGTCTTTTCCTTTCATAACCATTTGTGCATCATGTGACTTATGCAGTCTTTTTATATACAGCATAAAGTTTTCAGGAAAAATCAATTACTAGCTTGTGTATATACATTGAAACTATTCTGCTTCATTGGTATAGAGAGCAGCTTTCATTCAGGCATTCATTTAAGGGTACTTATATGTAAGTCCCTGTTCAGGGTATTGGGAATACAGAGCTCAAAGACCTCCTCCTTGATCTCAGTTCTTCTCTGCATTGATGTTCCTCTTTGGTCTTTCCTTTATGCAAGGTAGACTCTTGTCCATTCCATCTCTTCAAAGCATGGCTAAGATCAGGTAGTAATATATAGTCAGACTTCATTCAAGACTTTATAAAATGGAATTACAATGCAGTAAAGGAAAACTCGAAACCAACCACTGAATGTGACTTATCCTGAATGTCATAGGCTGTCCTCCTCACATACCTGCACACTCTGAGCCCACAACTTCTTACTATGTTTTAGGAGCAGCCTGCTCTCTTTAATAGGAATGCCTATGATAAATACCACCAGTCCCTCAAGTCCTCCAAGGCCCAGTGAGAGAAGGAGCCTGCCTCCAGATAGCTCAAGCAAAGGCTAGCTTACACAGAAATATAATCTTTAGCGACATGACTCTACACACAAGTGAGTCCAGAGATAAAACCCCACTGTTGAAGACTGAACACCAGAGAAATGCCAAGGCAAGGGCAAAAGTTTTATTTAAATGATAGAAAAGAGATAGAGAGAGACTCCTCTACAGAAGAGGGGGTCTAAGTTGGTGCCCAAGGGAATGGGGGGTGTCCTGCTCCTTTTATAGATTTCAGATTTCCTTTGCTCTCATGCCCCCTCTTCCCATTCTGCCTATGTGGCCCCAAGGACAGAGTGATCCAAGAGGGGGAGAATGAAGATACCCAGGGATATAGACAGGAATGGAGCCACCCAGCGACTACTTATTAACAACTCCTTGCTGAGGGGAACAATTCCCTGGAGGCAGGTAACCTCAGCAACAGGTTGCAGGAGGGGAAAATGCTCGGAAGTATTAGCATTTTATTTCCTCTTGAATCAGCCCCCATCTTCCTGATCCAATCCTTAATTACCTACACTGACTGTCCTTGTGCCCCAGCCTCACAAGGATGACAAATTTTGATTTTAAGTGCAACAGTTTAGTTATGCACTGTCTGGACCCTCTTCACTGCTAAACTACATCCTGGCTTATCCTTTCTGCAAGCAAACATTACATTGTTCTATTTTGCTTTTTTAAAATGTCAGATGTATTGAAGTTTAATATATACATAGTAAAATTCACCCTTTTAAATACATAATCCTCAGTTACAAACACATAGTCAAGTCACTACCATCTTATAGAATCCCTCAATGACCACAGAAAATGCCTATGCCCTCTCATAGTCAACCCTTTTCTGTATCTTTAGTCCCAGGCAAACACTGACCTGTTTTCTGTGACTAGAGTTGGACCTATCCATATTATCTTTGCTTTTGCCTTGGCAACCAGTTGCAGGAGAAGGGATAAGGCTTTGGAGACATTGCATTTTATTTCCTTTTCTCTTGAATCAACCCCCATCTTTGTTTCTTTCTTTTCTTTTTTTTAGTTGTAGATGGACACAATACCTTTATTTTATTTTTATGTGGTGTGGGGGATCAAACCCAGTGCCTCACGCATTGCAGGCAAGCGCTCTACCACTGAGACACCACTCAGGCCCCAGCCCCTATCTTTTTGATCAGGCCCAATTATTACCTACACTGACTAACCTTTTGCCCCTTCTCCCAGAATCATTCAGCATGTAGCCTTTTACATCTGATTTCTTTCACTTAGCCTAATGTAACTGCAATTCATCTATGTCATAGTGGTTATCTGAACTTTGTTCCTCTATATTGTGGAGTAATTTTCCATTTATGAATGTAACACCCTGATTATTCATTCACCAGTGGAAGAAATATTTGAGTTGTTTCCAGTTTTTAATGATTTCAAATAAAGCCACTATAATAGCTATAAGAGATTTTTGTATAAGCTTTCATTTATCTCAAGTAATTATCTAGGAGTGAGCTGTTAAATAGTATGATAATCATATACTTAACAATTTTTGAGACAATGAATTGTTTTCCAAAGTGATTGTACCATTTTGCATTCCCACCACCAGCTCATGAGAGTTCTAACTGCTCCGTATTTTTAGCAGTGTTTTGGGTATGGGGGGGAGCACTTGAGTGTGTGGTAATCTTATTCATTCTAATACAGGCATTGAAGAATCTCAGTGTAATTTAAATTTCCATTTTTCTAACAATTCATGACATTTAGCATATTTTCACATACTTATTTTCCATTCAACCTATTTTTAGTGAAATATCTATTCAATTATTTTAACCATTTATTTTCAGTTGCTTTATTACTGAGTTTTGGAGAATTTTTATATATTCTAGATCCATTCCCTTATCAGATAATGTACTTTGCAACTATTTTCTCCCAGTCTTTTTAATCTCTTAGCATCTTGGTTAGCTTGGACTCTATAAAAGAATACTGCAAACTTTGTGGCATAAACAAGATATCTCTTTCTCATACTTCTAGAGTTTGTTTAGTCAATGATCAAGGTGCTAGTAAATTCAGTCCAAAGTGAGGACTTTCTCCTGGCTCTTGTATAGTCAACTTCTTGTTGTACCTGGAGGATTGGGGCCAGAGTAGAAGGATTCTGATCTCTTCTTATAAGGGCCCTAATCCTACAAGAGCTCCCAGTCTTATGACCTCATCTAAGTTAATTAGATGTCCCCATTAGATTAGTCCTCATTTTCAAATTATCTCATGTTAGGGGGGAGAGTTTCAATATATAAATCTGAAAGTACCACACAACTCAATCCATAGCAATTTCTCTTGAAGAGAATGAATTTTTTAAATTTTTTAAAAATGTTTTAGTTGCCAATGGATTTTTTTACTTTGTTTATTTATATGTGTTGCTGAGGATTAAACCCAGGACCTCACACATGACAAGCAAGTGCTCTACCACTGAGCCAGAACCCAGTTCCATGAATTTTTAATTTTGATAATATCCAAGTTATCAATTTTTCTTTTAAGGATCTGCTTTTGATGTCATGCTGAGAAATCTAGGCCTAACTCTAACCCAAATTGCAAAGATTTTCCTCTAGAAATTTTATACTTTTATATGTTTTTCTATCTACAATTCATTTTGTGTTAATTTTTATTTATGGTCCCAAGTACCATTTGAGGATCTTTTCATTTCTTGTGTATATGTGTGTATCCTCTGAATTTTTCATGTGAAAAAATTATTTTGACTACTTTCAACCTTTGTATATCCAAATAAATTTTCAAATCAGGCTAGTTATCAATTTCTACCATTGTGGGGAACAGGGATAGAAACAAAAAACCGTCTGGTGTTTGGTTGGGATTACACTGAATGTATATAAATCAATTGGGAAATAACTGTCATCTTAACAATATTAAATCTTCTGATCCATGATCATAATATTTTTTTAATTTAAATTTTAAGACTTAATAAGATGAACACATATCTTTTGCTAAATTTATCCTTATTTATGTTTTCTATGCTTTTATAGATGGTTTTAAAATCCAATTTTCTGATCATTCTTTGCTATATATAATTGACTTTGTATATTAACTTTGAAATTTATGATCTTGCTAAACTCATTTAGTTGTTCTAGTAACTTTTTTAATGGACTTTTCAGGATGCAGAATAAGCATATACTTAGAAGTAACTAAGCAAATAATGAAATAATAGTTCAAAGAATAAAACTGTTTCTCAAAGTAGAACTACTGATTAGAACTGTTAATGCAATTTTTGTACCCTCTGACTTTTTATATAATGTACATGTCCATTGAGTGGAAATATAAATTTATATATTTTAAATACTCACTATCCCAAGATTTAGTCATTTGTTTTTAATTTTAATTATAGCTCTTTCATTTAGCAGGATTTTTCTTCATTTATATTTTATTTTTATTTGGTGCATGATGTACAAACATTTGAAATAGTGTCTTTTTCCCTCTCATATTGGTAACTAACTTGTCTTAGCACAATTTATTTTTTAAATAAATTACTTTACTCCCCAAAAACACTTATGCGTGCTCTCAAGTCATAATTTATATGGGGATGTTTCTTCACAATTTGTCCTTGCCCTGGTATACTTCACTGATTTGAAACATAGTGAGAATAAGTTCTCTGGTGTGGAGAAGGTCATTTATGGAAAAAACAATGTGCAACGGCACATTGGTTTAGAGGGATCTTATAAACATTGGGTTGGAGTAAATAAATGAGTGCTGAAAGTGTCACCTAGATGAGGGTCCTGATGAAGTACCCCAAAAGGGAAGTGGACCTCAACTCAAGTGGTAAGGATCCTTTACATCCTTGCGAAAAGGAATTTAAAGATGGATGAATTTATTGAGAGAAAGAAAGAAGGGCACTGAGAATCAGGGTTTGGAGAACACATTAACTACTTCTTAACTGTTACAGGGCAGAGGCCCCTTTCACCCCCATTCTTTCAATCATGCCAGAAAGATTTCAGATATGTAGCTCAAAATAACACGCATAAATTTTTTAAAATATTTTTTTAGTTGTAGATGGACACAACACCTTTATTTATTTATCATTATGAGGTACTGAGGATCCAACCCAGGGCCTCACACGTGCTAGGCCAGTGCTCTACCACTGAGCCACAACCCCAGCCCCCCCGACACGCATGAATTTATCAGAAGGAATTACAAAGAAAAAAATGGGGGACCTTCTCAAGGGAGAGACTGGGTTTTCTCAGAGGACAGGAAGGGCATGATCCTCCTACCCTCCAGTTTTATTGGGCAGGAATCCCAGGGAAATTTCCAGAATCCTGCCCAGGTCCACCTCTTGACTTTTGACTGATGGCAGGATGACATTAAACTTTCAAGACCCCACAAGGGCATGACAACTCTGAGTCACTTTGGCCCATGCTGATTAGTTCTAATTGGAACCTGTTCTTAAAAGATTTTATGGTCAGGAGGAATTATCCTTATCTCCCTAGGTTCTGGGATCTGGTCTGTATAAGAGTCATGAAAGTCCACCCATCCCCACTTCAGGGTAACTTGTGTTCTTTTTAATGGACATTTCAGACCTCCATTTCCCCTAGAGATAATAGGCAGTTTGCTGAAAAATGTAACATATCTTGCTGACTTAAGCCAGGCAGGCTTCAGGCTTTTTAAAAGTGAAAGCACGTGGGGAGTGGGGGGTCAGCACAGTGGGCCCAGTTCATAGAATTATTTCCTTCACCTCATGTTCCCACTACTAAATGTCTGTTCCCTATCATTAACGAGGCTTATTTACACAGGTAAGATCAGTAATATAGGGATATGCTCTAAGAGGTCGTTTTTACTTCTCCTGTGTTGGTAACTGGACAGGTTCCCCATTACCAGGATTAGGGGAGTCATTCACAGATAAGTTGATCACATCAGGATGGGGGGGCGCACTTACTGACAGGCGGTCCATTACTGGGATCGGGTATTATTTCCTTTCTTGTTTTTGATGCATTCTGCTTTTTGAACACAGCATTACATTAATGTGCCTGTAGGTAAGGTCCAATAATTGATCTAATATTGCTGTTTGTAACCAAGGTATGTGAAAGTGACTTAAATCTGGCCACTCCTGCGTTGTCCCCCATGTCTCCTTCTTTATGTCTTCAAGCCTACCTCAAAAAAAGAGACGGTAAGTGGCCTTAGTTTAAATTGGTGGTCCGCCGTCCTCGAAGAGGAAACACAGCTTCACAAGCTGATAACCCAAGAGAGTAGTGACAACCTGGACACAGACCAGAGACAGGGCGGAGAGGTTCTTGTTTTGACTCTGCCGCCAGCACTAGCTCACACAGAGATTGGAGCCCGCGGGAGTGCAGGGAGCACGTCACTTCCTGCCCGGCCAGGCCCGCCCACCTGCGCTATGACGGCCAGCGCTGAGCCGCCGGGACGGCGGCGGCCCGGGGTAGGGGTCGGAGTGGTGGTGACGAGCTGCGAGCATCCTCGTTGCGTCCTCCTGGGGAAGAGGAAAGGGTCGTTTGGAGACGGCAGCTTTCAGCTTCCAGGGGGCCATCTGGAATTCGGGTGAGCAGCCCCCGTTTCGACCGTGGAAAACGGAACGTGCGCCACGAGACACGTTCGCGCCGTGCGCGTTCACGTGCGCTTGTTCGCGCTGACGTCGCGTCGTTTCTCTCTCGTTTCCGGGTTCCTCTTTGCGCCCCGCAGGCGCGGGCCGCGAGGGGTCGCTGGGCTGAGGAAGGAAGGCTGACCTTGCTTGGTGGCTGCTGAGAATTGTTCGGTGAAAAGGGCTTCTTAGTGGGCATCACCGAGAGGACAGTGGGCGTTTCTAAGCCTCGAGCATTCGAGTGTTGTCACCACATTTGCACGGTTCCCGTGCTATTTAGACGTGCACAGGTATATTTAATATCCACTGGTTGCCCTACACTCTGAGCAAAAGATCTAGTGAGACTCTGCCCCTCAGTTTCTTCGTCTTTAAAATGGGGACGGTGGGCGAAATGTTTTTTAACGTTCCTGTCTGCCTTGACATTCTGTGATTGTAAAATATATCAGACGGATGTATCAAGATCATTGTATTGTCATGAGCAACTAATAAAAGGGAAGCGAGCATAATAAAAAAATTAACAATGAAAAAAGTAAAGTCTATCAGATGGACACAGGGAGTTGGCCAATTAAGTGTTCTACACGAAAGTGAAGAAAACATGGGTTGCAAAAAATGAATTTTGAAGTGAGAAGGTTAAAATCAAGAATAGTTAAATAGCGTCTTCTAAAGTCTCCAGATCCAGCGTGTTTTATCTTTAGTGTTTATTTTTGAAAATCCAGCATTTATATACATATTTTTTATTTTGAGACAGGGTCTCTCTAAGTTGCTTAGGACTGCACTAAATTGTTGAGGGCTGGCCTGGGACTTGGAATCCTGCCTCATCCCCCACAGTTGCTGGGATTACAGATGTGGCCCACTGCATCTGGCTCAAAATAATTCTTTAGTATCTTCTGATAGTCTGTGTATGTCCTCCTCGGTTTTCTTTAAAATGTCTTTTCACTGTTTTGTACCAATCAGGATCAAATGAATCATATTGCATTATTTCTCACTCTAAAAGTAATCCTCCATCCCCTTTTGCTCATGCCATTTATTTGTTGAAGAATATGGGGCATGTTTCTGAAGAATATATGTAGTTATGTCCATGTTTTTTTAGTCCACTCATATTTCTTACAAAATGATAGTTAGAAGTATAAGGCTGGGGCTGAGGTGGTGGCTCAGTGGTAGAGCATACCTAGCATGTGTGGCACTGGGTTCTATTCTCAGCACGGCTATAAACATATAAAATAAAGGTCCATCAACAACTAAAAAAAAAAAAAAAAAGAAGTAGTAGTAGTATAGGTCTGATGCTTAATCAGAATTTGTCCTTCATAAAATATAAAATTCATGTTCTTTTAGCATATACAGTTTTTTAAATGGTCTTCAGAATTTTAAAAAAAGCATTGATGTTTATCATTTTCAGATAATTAACATAAACCATTAATACAGTTTCTTAGATTATGAACCAGTTGCTCACATAGCTACACATTGTATTTTGTTGATGTACAAGCTACACATTGTACTTTGTTGATGTATCAAGATTTATTATCCAAATTTAGTGGGATTATCCAAATTTAGATCACAAACTAAACACAGTCTAGAATTATAATTACTGGAGTAATGGCTAGAGATAACTATCTTTTTTTTTTTTTAAGAGAGAGTGAGAGAGAGGGGGACAGAGAGAGAGAGAGAATTTTAACATTTATTTATTTATTTTCTCTTAGTTCTATTTTTTCTTAGTTCATCTTTGTTTGTATGTGGTGCTGAGGATCGAACCTGGGCCGCACGCTCAAGCGCTGCTACCGCTTTGGCTTTGCTACCGCTTGAGCCACATCCCCAGCCCAACTATCTTAACATAAGAAAGTGTAGGAGTCTCAGTTTCCAGGTGATCATAACATTGTACTTGAATGAAGCCCTAGATAGCATGCTAAGCTTCTCTCAGGTACCCTTTCACTTGATCTTTACATAACTGTATTCTGAAAGAGCTAACTTCGATGGGGGAGCAAGTAGAAAATTGGTTTCTTTTCTCCTTCCACATTCTTCAGACTTGAGTTATCTTTTCCTATCTCTGTTTCAGTGACTTTTCCTGTAAATTCTATTATTTATTTCATTAAAAATCATGTTTTGGTTATTATGATTTATTTCCAAGCATTTGAAAGTTCAAGCCAGTTTAAACCTTCAGTCTCACTTCTCATGTCTAATCCCTTCTGTGATGTGGAAATAAAAGCCATTGTTTTGCTCTTTCTCCATCTCTTCCTCTCCTCACTCTGCTGTTTCTGACTTTCCTTCTCCCGTGTGTTGAGGAGGAAGAAGGGGTGAACTTTTTATGTGACTAGGGCAGCTTTAATCCCTCCACTGGTGCCCTCTCTGTTGGTATCCACTATCCAAGTTCGTGCTTTCTTTCTTGGTTTGTGTTTGACAGTTGGTTGGAAATCCCACAAGGATTTTTGTCCTTGACAGGGACAACTTTTTTTTACACTGGTCCCCCTTCTCTAGCTCTTGCTTCTAGTACATCACCCTGCATTTTTTTCCTGCTAGGTATTCTGTTAGATTACTCAGCAGTCTTTTGTGACATACGCTTAGCCCAAAGGAAATATGTAATAGAAATGATGATTTTTCACTGCTGCCCCCTTTCCTTGTTAAGCTTTCACGGAATGACCGCTCTAGCCAGTCTCACCTTCCAAATTCCTGAAGCAGGAAGAAGTGTCAACCTCTATATTCACATGCATACGGAAAAGCTAAGGAACACATTTCAGTATTATACAAGAATTCTTACCCTCCTGTCACCCGTGCTCTGATGCACTGGGGTAGGGCTGGGTTTCCACAGCTCATGATGTCTTTGGCAGGGACACATCAGTATCTCCTTCTTGGGAGTCTTATCCAATCTCAACTGATTCTCCTGGAGAGTCTCTCATTTAGATGATTGGAAAGAGTCTACCCCTCATTGGGAGGAGGAGAAACGTTCATATTAGGCTGAAAATTCTCAACTTTACTCCCTCCCAAATATCTCCTGCCTTTCTTACGTAGCCTGTGTGGGATTAGGGTCAGAAGACTAGCCTTACCTTCCTTAGCAAACCTGTGAGCTTGGATGACATGCTCTTCTGCTACACTCATGAGAATTTAGAGGTGCTAGTTGCCTATTGTCCTCCATTTTGAGGCTTAAACTGAAATTCTGTGAGTGTAGGAAAAGCCATAATATACTTCCATATACATTTATAACACCCCCATGAGAAGGTAATAGTCCTCTTTTTGCTAATCCAAAGTAGCAAGTAATGGACTTTCATATCCATCCAAGGTCTAGTTGACTACACAGTCTTAACTAATACACTAAATTTCCCCCTGGTTGCACAGGCTTACTTTCAGACCTATGAATTAGTGCTGAATTGGCTAAATGTTAATTTTTTTAAAACATGAAGTCCTTCTGGTATTTAGGTAACTAAATATAAGATGTACAGAATGTTGAAGGCTGAGTTGTTGATATGTCATTTTAAAGTATAAACTAATTGCAGTTGTATTTGCTTTGTGCTAGAAATTCCTAACCAAGTATTTCATGGTAAAGAATTTTACATAAATAGAATTGACTACAATAGTACATTTCTGTTTTCCAGTGAGACCTGGGAAGAATGTGCTCAAAGGGAAACCTGGGAAGAAGCAGCTCTTCGCCTGAAAAATGTCCACTTTGCCTCAGTGGTGAATTCTTTCATTGAGAAAGAGAATTACCATTATGTCACTATATTAATGAAAGGAGAAGTAGATTTGACTCATGGTTCAGAACCAAAGAATGTAGAACCTGAAAAAAATGAAAGTAAGAGAATTATATATAATAATGCATTTTTCTTTGTGGAGATCGTATCATTAGAAGGAGTATTACATTCTGTTGCCATATGAAGAGGATTATATTTTCTTCATATTTGTGTTCCCCCAAAATTCATATGCTGAAATTTGTTACCCAGGTGATACTAACAGGAGGTAAGGCCTCCTGAATGGGATTAATACCATTATAAAAAAGACTCTAGATAGACTCCTCACCCCTTCCTCCATAGGAGGATTCAGAGAGAAGATGGTTGTCTATGAACCAGGAAATGGGCCCTTGCCAGATACCAGATCTGCCAGTGTCTTGATCTTGGACTTCCAGCCTCCAGAACTGTGAGAAAATAAATTTCTGTTGTCTGTAAGACGCGTAATCTAAAGTATTCTAAAGTAAATCTAAAGTAATCTATAGTATTACAGCAGTCCAAACAGACTGGACAATATAGATATGTAGATATGCTAAAATCCTGAGGAATATAAGAAACCAGCTGGTTTGGGTTTGTGTCCTGGTTTTTTCACTCTGCACTATGACTTTGGGCAAGTTATTTAATGTCTGGGTCTCTTTTCTCATTTGCAGCAATAGTAACCCCTTTATATGGGGTATTATAATTAAATGATTAAATGAGTTAATAAACATATAAACCTAGTTGACATAATAAGTGCTCAGTAAGTGTTCATTTTTTGTGTGTGTGTTTATTTTTTTTCCCTCAGGTTGTGATTTTTAAGAAAATTTTTTTGTGTGTATGATTTCCTCAGTTTTCTCATCTACACAGGAGAAATAATACCTTCCTTTTGCAGAGAATGATAACTCTGACAAAGCAGTTGTCTGTTACCTTCTATATTGAATTGAACACTCTGAAAGCTTTAATGACAAAAACATTGTTCTAAGGGCTTCATGTGTATCCTCTCTCCACAAGAAACTAAGAAAGCCAAGCACAGTGGTTGATGCCTATAATCCCTCATACTAGGGAGACTCAGACAGGAAGATCACAAATTCAAGGCTAGCCTGGGCAGTTTAGCAAGTCCATGTCTCAAAAAATAAAAAGGACTGGGGATATAGCTCGGTGGTAAAGCACCCCTAGGTTCAGTACCTTGTACCTTGTATAATTCAAGAAACTAAAGAAACAAATCAAAATCTTTAAATGCATGTATTTTTAATATATGGGTATATACATACACACTCTGAGAGGTCTCATGTACTGGACATCCCCTGTAAACATTTAATTTCTCCAAAATGAAGACATGGCAGAGAAGGGGAAAGGGAAGCAGCCACATACAGAAGAGATGTGTGCAAACAAGAATACAAGAGGCCAGAGAGTGGCCAGGCTCACTCTTTTTATAATAATACACTATAGAGAACCTATGAGAAAAGCATTAATCCCTCTTAAAAACCTAATTGCCTCCCACTAGGCCCCACCACATAAAGGTTCCACCACCTTTCAGTTTCAGCATCACTATACAGGGGACCAAGCCTCCAGCATGGGAACTTTTGTTAGATCCACTCATTCATACCAACTATAGCAGTGGGTTTATTTGTAGTGTAATGATGCAGTCTCCTTCCCATATTCCTCAGGTCCTGGATTTGGAGAGCCTACTTCAATTTACCATTTATTTCATCCTTCCAACAGTTGAGTGTTCATATTAGGAGAATCATTCAAACATTTTTTTAAATTTATTTTTTTGGAGTTAGACACAATACCTTTATTTCATCTATCTAACTATCTGTTTATTTGTTTTTTTGTTTGTTTATTTATTTATATGTGGTGCTAAACAAACAATTCAAACCCAAGGCCTTGCAAATGCAAGACGAGGGCTCTACCACTGAGCCACAACTCCAGCTCCTCAAACATTTTATTTTCTAGGAGATGGGGGTAAACTCAGCACACATGCAATCTTTCACCTCACCCCACTCCAGGTACTGAGGACTGAACTCAAAGGTGCTCTACCACTGAGTTATATAATCAGCTCTTTTTATTTTATTCTGAGATATGGTCTCACTAAGAATTTCAGGTATGTACCACCCACTAGCTACAGACAGCTCTCTTAAGGATCAGTTAATTCAGTATCTGTAGCACATTATTGGGCACTCATCTCCCTTTCTCTGTCTCTATTCCTCTTGATCTCTCTCTAGTAGTTAGTGTGTAGTCACGGTGGCTAATCAACTCTTTCTGTATTTGTTCCAATTTCATGGTTTCTTTGTTTCATGCCTTATTAGACTAAAAATACATAACTTGTATTTCATAGGCAGAGAAAGAAATATTTAGTAGAATAAAAAGCACTCATACAAAAGTAAAAACATGTAATCATAAAAAGTCCTATTTAGAACATGGAGTGTACATCTTAATATAATAATATTTGTATGTTCACCTTTGTCAGAATAATCATTCTCTGCAAAAGGAAGTTATTGTTTCTCCTGTGTAGATGAAAAAACTGAGTATCTGTGCTTTTGTGTTATTTATTTCTAAATCATTAAAGAAAATACCATTCCCTAGAATCTTTTTCTAGGATTTCATGCATTTTAAAACTAACAAACACTGTTAGATCTTCCCTTTTTTAGTGGATTCTTTTAAATCAGCTCCCTTTGTATTTGTCTTTCTATAGAAAATATTCTAAGCACAGTATTTTTTTTCCTCTGTGCAGCTTCTGTTATTTTTTTTTAAGAGATGGAAGAGAATTTAAGAATACTGTAATCTACCTTATTTTATAGGGAAAGAAACTGATCTATTTTAATGTAGCATAACCTATACTATATAAAGTGTTTTTCATTTTGAGACGCATATTTGAATAAACAATGAATAAATACTAAATCTGGGTTTATCAACTTCCTATTCAAATAACAATGTTTTACATGATCATTCTCTTCTTTAAAATATTCATTTTAAATGCAAATTGTATTTGTATAGTAAGTTAAAGCAGAACATCACTGTTGGAGTTTATTAATAGATCACTTTTAAGTTTAATTCATTTTTCTCTACATATAAATTAGCTTACTAACTAGGCACCATGGCACGTTCCTGTAATCCCAGTGGCTTGGGAGGCTAAGGCAGGAGGATTGCAAGTTCAAAGCCAGCAACTTAGTGAGTCTGTCTCTTAATAAAAAATAAAAAGGGCTGAGGATGTGGCTCAGTGGTTAAGCAACCCTGGGCTCCATTCCTAGTACAAAAAAAAAAAAAAAAAAAAAGCTTACCAAAATAAGTACTGCTTATTCCCTGTCAGGTAAATACATTGATTTGGTCTCTTTCTCTTCTAGGTTGGGAATGGGTTCCATGGGAAGAATTTCCTCCAGTAGACCAACTTTTCTGGGCACTCCGTTGTTTAAAGAAGCAAGGCTATGATCCATTTAAAGAAGATTTGAACCATCTGGTAGGATACAAGGGAAATAATCTCTAGGTGCCAAGAAGACTCCTTGATTTTATTTTTTAAAAGACAAAAATAAGTTCTAGTTAGGGAATGTAAAATACATACATGTTTCAGAACAACTTCATTTTATCTAAAAATGTTCCATATGATTGCCAGTTTATTTGCATTCTCTTAAATATCTGCTTGGGAAGATCTTTCTGAAATAGGTCATTGTAGTGTATTTCAGACACAGAATGTAGGATAAATAGGGATATTGTGGTTAATCTGCTTTCCATATTTATCTGTGATATTTCCTGTGGTTTGTCATTACAGTTTGCATGGTATAATTACAATGGAACTTATCTTATAAGTGTTTCAGTTCAAATTCAGATATAATTTAAATTCAAACAGTATATCTATAGCAGGATTTATTATGTTTGTTGATTTCTCTTTTTCATTAAAAAAACTTTTTTGGTACTAGATTGTGACAACTTTGTAACTAGAGAGAACAGGATAGGCCAATAAGGCATATTTCCCAGGTTCGTGATTGAGAACCTAAACTAAGAGAAGTGAGACAAACCATCTAAGATCTGTACCCTGCCATTAACATGCATGTTGTTGTGAGTGTCTCACTTCCTCTGCTGAGATCTAGTAGGCTTATATGTAAAATGAGAGTACTTTAGGGCAGTGGCTCTTAAACTGTGGTCTAGGTGGGTCCTCAAGAACCTTTCAGGGTATTCAAAGCCAAAGCTATTATTATAATACTAAGATATCATTTAATTTTTTCACTCTCATTCCTTTATGAGCATACAGTGGAGTCTTGCATAGGCTGCTTGATGTGTGATATGGTTACAGACTAAGTGTTAAAGCAGATATAAGAATCCTGCTTTTTAATATGAAGTCAGATATTAAAGGTATTTGCAAAAATGTATGACACTGAACTCACTAATGATTTTTTTGTTTTAGAAAAAGTTATCTTTCAAAAAATTATGTTAACATATATTAGGTTTTTATTTGAAAATGATTAATAAAAATTCAAATTATTTTGTTTTAATTTCTAATATGATAAATATCTCTAGATGGGGTAGATATAATAGAACAGTGTTTCAGTTGAAATAGAAATCTTACAAAACAAAACAAAAAATCCTACAAAAACAAAATCTCTTTAATTTTTAAAAGTATAATGGAACTGTGTACAGTGGCGCATGCCTGAATCCCAGCAGCTTGAGAGGCTGAGACAGGAGGAATAAGAGTTCAAAGCCAGCCTCAGCAAAAACAAGGTGCTAAGCAACTCAGTGAGACCCTGTGTCTAAATAAAATATAAAATAGGGCTTGGGATGTGGCTAATGGCCAAATGCTTCTGAGTTCAATCCCTAGTACCCCCCTACCCTGCCAAAAAAAAAAGTATAAATGGATTGAAAACCAAAAAATTTGAAACTTCTGGATTAGACCATAAGATCATATCCTTTATGAACCCACTTCTTAAAATCCTGTGCTTGTCTTTTAAGTTTACATTTGAATTTTGTGCTTTCAAAAGACTCTGGTGTTTCTGCTACAAGGGAATCTTTTTCTAGTCTGTGAATATCATTTTTAAGTTCTTTTTTAAAATATTTTTTTTTTGTTATAGATAGACACAATATCTTTATTTCATTTATTTTTATGTGGTGCTGAGGATGGAACGCTGTGCCTCACGCGTGGGAGGCAAGCGCTCTATCACTGAACCACAACCCCAGCCCTTAAGTTCTTTTCTAATTGTTGCTTTTTCAGAATTTTACATGTATATAATTTAACATTTATAAACCTCATTTTCTGTGAGTTGTAGCTTTACATATTTTTGATGTCAGAATGTTTGAGGAGTTCAAGTTTGATAAATGCGTATTCCTCAGCTTTAGACACTGAATTTTGCACAATGGAAAGTGTCCCTTTTTTTTTCTGTTTGGGTATATTTGTTGGTATATTCTTTGTCTAGTTTGGTTTATAAATGAGAACTCCTAGAGAGGATTCTCAGATAATAAATGGCAGTGACTAAGAGGGTATCAGGGCACGAGTGTCTAAACTTTGTGCATAAGGCCTCACATGAAGATTGCTATTCAGCTGCCAGGGAGCAGGTTCTTGAACCTGTCTTCTAACAAATACCCAGGTGATTTTGGCAAGGCTTGTGGCTACACTTTGAGAAATATGACTTTTAAGATAGCAGCCATTGTACTTTGCACAAGTCTAACTTTCTTAATATGAGGTGTGCTTTGCTGAAGGCAGCTCCAGCTTACTAAGCACACGAAACTTTTGACACTTGTAACAAAATCACATTATAATAACTTTGATGAAATACCAACATTACTAATTACATTTCATCAAAAAGAGTACTCTGTGCACATAAAACTTAACAGGTTAGAATAAGACTGAGCAGAGGAAATTTGGAAAAAGTACATTCTTTTTTTATTTTTACTTTTTTGGTACTGGGGATTGAAGTCAGGGACACTCGACCACTGAATCACATCCCCAGCCCTATTTTGTATTTTATTTAGAGACAGGGTCTCACTGAGTTGCTTACCACTTTGCTTTTCCTGAGGTTGGCTTTGAACTCCCGATTCTCCTGCCTCAGCCTCCGGACTGCTAGAATTACAGACATGTGCCACCATGCCTTAAAGCACTTAATAGCAATGCCTGAGAGTATTTTCATACTAATGTGAAACAACTGTGTTTTCAGTGACATCGAAATGATTAACCCTCATTGTTGACTTTGTAACTATTCTATTTGACACACTTTTTTCCCTTTCAGAAATATTTCTTTTTTCAGACTTGCTACACACAATAGAATCAAAGGCAGGATCAGGAATACTCATTTTGATAAAAGTATAATGTTTGTGAGTCTTGGACTTTTCCTTTTAAGTACTCTAGGAACAAAGGTGAATGTTTTAGCATGGGAAAAGCAGCACACCAAAAGCATGACATTTCTTACTTTTTTTTCTCTCTCTCTTTTAGTTGAAGATGGACATAATACCTTTATTTTATTTTTATGTGGTGCCAGGGATCGAACCCAGTACCTCACGGCATGCTAGGCAAGCACTCCACCCACCACTGAACCACAACCTGGTCCCTCTTGCTTTTGTTTTAAAAGTTTATGAAAACTTTTGATTACACTTCATGAGAGACCCTTGTGATCAACTATAAAAATTTTTATCATAAAATATAACATTAATCATAGTTATTTTCAATATTTTATTTTTTAGTTGTAATTGGACACAATACATTTATTTATTTATTTATTTTTATGTGGTGCTGAGGATCAAACCCAAGGCCTTGCATGTGCTAGGCAAGAGCTCTACCGCTGAGCCAACCCCAGCCACATGGTATATATCTATTTATTTGCTTTTGAATATTTTGCTCATCTTTTCCATAACTCTTGGGAGGTATATTTTTACCTTCTTTTGATAAACAAAGTTATTACAGTAACTGTTGAATCTGAAACTTGGTTCTTTTTTTTTCTTTTTTATTATACTTAAAATTATCTGGATTCATTTTATTTATTTATTTACTTATGTGCTTGTAATCTGTTTTTCCTGCTGTTTCATAAGTTCCAGGAAGGCAGGCTTACTCTTATTCAATGCCGTATCCTCAGCATGCAATGAAGTGCCTAGAGCATAAGAGGTGCTCAAATTTACAATGAATGATTGAATGATTGAATGGCACCTCTGAAGGCACTAAGCTACATCAGGTATGGCAAATATTCTTTCTCACTGACTGCTCCCAGAATCAGCCTAGGAAGCCTTTTCATTGGGAAAGGACACATAATTGAAACCTGTTCCATATCTCTGAAGTGCACGACCTCAAAGATCTCTAATGCTAATATTCTTTGATTCCATGAAACAGAAGATATTATAGTTTGGATTGGAAATTTCCCCCAGAGTTCCTATGGTCCCTTGTGCAGCAAGGTTCAGAGGCGGGGCTTTTAGGCCATGATTATATCGTGAGGTTGCTGGCCTCATTGGTGGACTACTGGGAGGCGGGACCTAGTTGAAGGAAGTAGGTCATTGTGTTTGGGTGTACCCCGGAAGGGTCCATCTTTTCCTCAACCCCTTCTTCTCTTTCTGATTCCTGGCTGCCATGAGCTGAGCAGCTTCCCTCCCAAATGCCTTCTGCCATGATGTTTCTGCCTTGGTGTAGCTGTTCATGGACCAAATCCTCTGAAATCATGAGCCAAAATAAACTTTTCCTTCTCTAAGTTGTTCTTGTCAGGTATTTTGGTTACAATGACAAAAAGCTGACTAACAAAAGGTAAGGTAGCTAAGATATTTAAAAGGGAGATTCAAACAAAAGATTTAGGAAAAGTATGCCTCTTTTAAGGAGTGTAAGAACCACTTTCCTTTAAAAGATCCTGAGATCAGTTGTTGTTCCCTTGTATACAAGGGAACTCAACATGCAAATATACATATAATAAAATGAAATGTACAATTTTAAAAAACATGTCCAGGGGCTGGGGTTGTGGCTCAGTGGTAGAGCATTTGCCTAGCACATGCGAGGCCCTGGGTTAGATCCTCAGCACCACATAAAAATAAATAACTAAAGGTATTGGGTCCAACTACAACTAAAAAATAAATATTAAAAAAAAATATGTCCAGGTACATTGGCACACACTAAATCCCAGCAACTCAGGAGACTGGGGCAAAAGAATCACAAGTTTAAAGCCAGCCTAAGCAACTTAGCAAGACCCTATCTAAAAATAAAAAGGACCGCGATATAGCTCAGTGCTAAAGCACCCCTGGGTTCAACCCCCCAAAATAAAAACCAAATATCTCAGTAAGTTAAACATTCTTTAAACATTTAGTAATTTATATAGGCTCTTAGCTTGTGTTATGTGCTGAATGAACTGTGTCTCACCAAAGATCACATGTTGAAGACCTAACCCCCAATATTTGAGAATGTGATTATATTTGGAGGTGAGATATTGAAAGAGGTGATTAAGTTTAAAATGAGGCCGTTAGGATGGGCTCTCTTCCATTCTGACTTTTGTCCTTATCAAAAATAATCTGAACACATACAAGAGTCCAGATGTATGTGTGTAGATAAAAGACCTATATGAAGATGCAGCGAGATGGCAGCCACCTGCAAGCCAAGGAAACAGGCCCCACATGAAACCAACCCTGCTGACACTTTGATCTTGGACTTCTGATCTTCAAAATTGTGAGAAAATAAACTTCTGTTGCATAAGCCACCCAGTCTATTGTATTTTGTTATGCACCCTTTGCAAACTAATACAGGTACCCTAAATCTTGCAGCTCTGTTCAAAGTATTATAATAGAATCAAAAAACATTCCTTCCATGTCTGCCATCCTGAATTGGAGTTTTGGCAACATCAAAGCTTTGAGAAGAGTTCAAATTTTTCCATTCCAAGAAAACTTTACATATACCAGAAATAGAAAATAATACAGTGAACCCCCACATACCTATAACCCATTCAACAAGTACCAACATTTGCCTTATTTACTTCATCTGTCACCTTTCCATCCCTTTTTTCTTATAGTACTTTCTTAATATTTTATTGACTGTATAATGAAATGGTGAAATTTATGTATTATAAATTAAAGCTAATTTGTATTAGTAAATACAAAGTAAACAAATTGAACTGAGATAAAATATTTATGCTCTCAGAATTTCAAATCAGAATACTTGTTTTACGGCATACTAAATTGACCAATCTAGAAACAAGTTTTTGCAGACTTGTTTTCAATTCTTAGATATATACCTAAAAGTGGAATTTCTGGGCCATACCATTTAACTGTTGTTTAACTTTTGAGGAATAAACAAATGTTTACCAAAGTGACTGCCCATTTTATACCACCAGCCTAACCTTTTTTTTTTTTTTTGCCACTGTGACTGTGACCAAAAGAACTGACAAGAATAATTTTAGAGGAGGAAAAGTTTATTTGGGGTTCATGGTTTCAGAAGTCTCACTGTTGCTGTGCCCAGGGCAGCACATAATGCCAAAAGGGTGTGAAGAGGGAAGTGGCTCAGGACATGGCACCAGGAAGCAGACACTGCAGACCTGGGA